TTTGGAGATTTTTGGGTGGATTTGGAGGTTCCTGGTTGGATTTGGAGGTTTTTGGATGAATTTGGAAGTTCCTGGGTGGATTTGGAAGTTCCTGCTGGATCTGACCCCACTTTTCCTGCAGGTCCTGGTGTCCACGGCCACGCTGGCCTGGGGCGTGAACCTGCCGGCGCACACGGTGATCATCAAGGGCACGCAGGTCTACAGCCCGGAGAAGGGGCGCTGGACGGAGCTGGGAGCGCTGGACATCCTCCAGGTGGGACCTGGCAACGTCCCGGGACCTTCCCGGCCATAAATCCCATCCCAAATCCCAGTTTTTGTTCCTCCTTGTTCTTCTTCCTGGTGGGGTGGGGTTGGAGGGGACCGGGAAAAGTTCTCCAACAATTCCATGTCCAGATCCTTCCAGATAATCCTTCAGGAACTCCATGCCCAAACCCACCTGAGATAACTCCGCAAGAATTCCATGCCCAAACCCACCTGAGATAATTCTTCAAGAATTCCATGCCCAAACCCTGCTGAGATAATTCTTCAAGAATTCCATGCCCAAACCCTGCTGAGATAATTCCTGAAGAATTCCATGCCCAGACCCACTTAAGATAATTCCTCCAGAATTCCATGCCAAACCCTGCTGAGATAATCCTTCAAGAATTCCATGCCAAACCCACTTGAGATAATTCCTCCAGAATTCCATGCCCAGACCCACCTGAGATAATCCTTCAAGAATTCCATGCCCAAACCCTGCTGAGATAACTCCACAAGAATTCCATGCCAGACCCACTTGAAATAATTCCTCCAGAATTCCATGCCCAAACCCACCTGAGATAATCCTTCAAGAATTCCATGCCCAAACCCTGCTGAGATAATTCCTGAAGAATTCCATGCCCAGACCCACCTGAGATAATTCCTCCAGAATTCCATGCCCAGACCCACCTGAGATAACTCCATGCCCAAACCCACCTGAGATGGTCCCTCAAGAATTCCCGGTTCCCTGAGCTGTCTCTCCGTGTTGCAGATGTTGGGCCGTGCCGGGAGGCCCCAGTACGACACGAAAGGAGAAGGAATTCTCATCACTTCCCACGGAGAGCTCCAGTATTACCTGTCCCTGCTCAACCAGCAGCTGCCCATCGAGAGCCAGATGGTGGCCAAGCTCCCGGACATGCTCAACGCCGAGGCCGTGCTGGGGAATGTCCAAAATGCCAAGGTGGGTCGGAATTCCCGATTTTCTGTAGGGATTTGTGGCTGTGGTTCTGCTCCCTGAGATAATTCCATGCCCAAACCCACCTGAGATAATCCCTCAACAATTCCATGCCCAAACCCACCTGAGATAATCCCTCAACAATTCCATGCCCAAACCTACCTGAGATAATTCCTCAACAATTCCATGCCCAAACCCATCTGAGATAATCCCTCAACAATTCCATACCCAAACCTACCTGAGATAACTCCTCAAGAATTCCATGCCCAAACCCACCTGAGATAATCCTTCAAGAATTCCATGCCCTCAACCCTGCTGAGATAATTCCTCAAGAATTCCATGCCCAAACCCAGGTGGGGATTTTTGGGACTGGGGTGTTTAGGGTGTTCTTGGAAGAGTTGTTGGGGCGGGAGTGGAAAATCTGGAGGTGTTTTAGGGTTCATTCCAGGATGTTTTCCAGAAGATGTGGGGAAATGGAATTTGGCACCAGGAAAAGCGGATTTAATTTAGGGAATTTAGAATGAGGAAAAGCAGATTTCCCAGGAAATTTATGACCAGGATAACCAGATTTCCTGGGAAATTAGACACCAGGAAAAGCAGCTTTTCTGGGAAATCAGGGAGCAGGAAAAGGAGATTTCCTTGGGAATTTAGAGAACAGGAAAAGGAGATTTCCTAGGAAATTTGGGCAAGTAAAAGCAGGTGTTCTGGGAATTAGACACCAGGAAAAGCAGCTTTTCTGGGAATTAGACACCAGGGAAAGCAGATTCCCTGAGAAATTTATTGCAAGGAAAAACAGCTTTTCTGGGTATGTAGAAGGAGGAATACCAAATTACCTTGGGAATTAGGAACCAGGAAAAACTGATTTAGTTAGGAATTAGACACCAGGAAAAGCAGATTTCCTGGGAATTAGGCACCAGGAAAAGCAGATTTCCTGGGAATTGGGCACCAGGAAAAGAAGATTTCCTGGGAATTAGGCACCAGGAAAAGCAGATTTCCTGGGAATTGGGCACCAGGAAAAGCAGATTTCCTGGGAATTGGGCACCAGGAAAAGCAGATTTCCTGGGAATTGGGCACCAGGAAAAGCAGGTTTCCTGGGAAATTAGGCACCAGGAAAAGAAGATTTCCTGGGAATTAGGCACTGGGAAAAGCAGATTTCCTGGGAATTAGGCACTGGGAAAATCAGGTTTCCTGGGAATTAGGCACCAGGAAAAGCAGGTTTCCTGGGAATTGGGCACCAGGAAAAGAAGATTTCCTGGGAATTAGGCACTGGGAAAATCAGAGTTCCTGGGAAATCAGGCACCAGGAAAAGAAGATTTCCTGGGAATTAGGCACTGGGAAAATCAGATTTCCTGGGAATTGGGCACCAGGAAAAGCAGGTTTCCTGGGAATTAGGCACTTGGAAAATCAGATTTCCTGGGAAATCAGGCACCAGGAAAAGCAGGTTTCCTGGGAATTGGGCACCAGGAAAAGCAGAGTTCCTGGGAAATTAGGCACCAGGAAAAGAAGATTTCCTGGGAATTAGGCACCAGGAAAAGCAGGTTTCCTGGGAATCAGCCACCGGCCGTGGCAGGGAATTCCAGGAGTAATTGAGGATCTGGGAATTGGTAGGACGCGCTCAACTGGCTGGGCTACACCTACCTGTACATCCGCATGCTGCGCTCGCCCGGCCTCTACGGCATCTCCCACGAGGAGCTGAAGGCGGATCCGCTCCTGGAGCAGCGGCGCCTCGACCTCGTCCACACCGCGGCCCTCATGCTCGACAAGAACAACCTGGTCAAGTACGACAAGAAAACCGGGAATTTCCAGGTGGGACGGCCGGAGAAATGGGGATTTGTAGGTGGGAGGGGGGGGAAAAATGGGGATTTGTAGGTGGGAAGGGAAAAAAAATGGGGATTTGTAGGTGGGAAGGGGAAAATAAGTGAAGTTCTACGTGGGATGGTCAAAAAAGAAGGGAATTTCTAGGTGGGATGGTAAAAAAAGAGAGGATTTTTAAGTGGGATGGGAAAAGAAAAATGGGGATTTTTAGGTGGGAGATTCCCATGGTTTATCCTGACCATTCCCATGGTTTATCCCAACCATTCCCGTGGTTTATCCTGACTGTTCCCATGGTTTATCCCACCCATTCCCGTGGTTTATCCTGACCATTCCCATGGTTTATCCTACCCATTCCCGTGGTTTATGCTGACTGTTCCCATGGTTTATCCCACCCATTCCCGTGGTTTATCCCAACCATTCCCATGGTTTATCCTACCCATTCCCGTGGTTTATGCTGACTGTTCCCATGGTTTATCCCGACTGTTCCTGTGGTTTATCCTGACCATTCCCATGGTTTATCCTGACTGTTCCCATTATTTGTCCTGACCGTTCCCGTGGTTTATCCCAACCGTTCCCATGGTTTATCCTGACCATTCCCATGGTTTATCCTGATCATTCCCGTGGTTTATCCCAACCGTTCCCGTGGTTTATCCTGACTGTTCCCATGGTTTATCCCAACTGTTCCTGTGGTTTATCCTGATCATTCTCATGGTTTATCCTGACCGTTCCCGTGGTTTATCCCGACCGTTCCCGCCCCGTTCCCGGCTGTCCCGGCAGGTGACGGAGCTGGGCCGCATCGCCAGCCATTACTACATCACCAACGAGACGGTGCAGACGTACAACCAGCTGCTGAAGCCCACCCTGAGCGAGATCGAGCTCTTCCGCGTCTTCTCGCTGTCCTCGGAGTTCCGCAACATCACCGTGCGCGAGGTACGGGGACGGGCAGCGCCCGACGTCAGACAGCCGTCACCCGACGGCCATTGATCAACACCCAACAGCACCCAACAGCACCCATCACCCAACAGCACCCAACGTCAGACAGCCGTCACCCGACGGCCATTGTTCAACACCCAACAGCACCCAACAACACCCATCACCCAACACCCAACAACACCCAACATCAAACAGCCGTCACCCGACAGCCATTGTTCAACACCCACCATCACCCAACGTCAGACAGCCGTCACCCAACGGCCATTGTTCAACACCCAACAGCACCCAACAGCACCCATCACCCAACAACACCCAACGTCAGACAGCCGTCACCCGACGGCCATTGATCAACACCCAACAGCACCCAACAGCACCCATCACCCAACAGCACCCAACATCAAACAGCCGTCACCCGACGGCCATTGATCAACACCCAACAGCACCCAACAGCATCCATCACCCAACAGCACCCAACAGCATTCAATGTCAGACAGCCGTCACCCGACGGCCATTGATCAACACCAAACAGCACCCAACAGCACCCAACATCAAACAGCCGTCACCCGACGGCCATTGATCAACACCCACCATCACCCAACAACACCCAACGTCAGACAGCCGTCACCCGACGGCCATTGTTCAACACCCACCATCACCCAACAACACCCATCACCCAACAGCACCCAACGTCAGACAGCCGTCACCCGACAGCCATTGATCAACACCCACCATCACCCAACAACACCCAACATCAAACAGCCATCACCCGACAGCCATTGTTCAACACCCACCATCACCCAACAGCACCCATCACCCAACAGCACCCATCACCCAACAGCACCCAACGTCAAACACCCATCACCTATCACCCAACATCACCCAACACCCATCACCCAACCCCCTCAGCCATCCCTGTTCCCCCAGGAGGAGAAGCTGGAGCTGCAGAAGCTCCTGGAGCGAGTCCCGATCCCGGTGAAGGAGAGCATCGAGGAGCCCAGTGCCAAGGTGAGCCCTGCCGGGAATTCCCGGTGGGAATTCTGCGCTCTTCCCTCTCCGGGATGTCCTGAACGGGGCCGGGAAGCTCCGAGAGAGCCAGGAGATCCATGGGAAAAGGATCTTTGGGGGGAAAGGAAATTTCCTTGGGAATGAGGAACCGGGAAAAGAGGCTCTCCTGGAAAATTTGGGAAACAGGAAAAGGAGATTTCCTGGGAATTTGGGAACAGGAAAAGCAGATTTCCGAGGAATTTTGTACCAGGAAAAGGAGATTTCCTTGGGAATTAAGCTCCAGGCAAAGCAGCTTTCCCGGGATTTTCCCTGAGAGCTTTTCCATCGCCGTTCCCAGATCAACGTCCTGCTCCAGGCCTTCATCTCACAGCTGAAGCTGGAGGGGTTCGCCCTCATGGCCGACATGGTCTACGTCACCCAGGTGAGCCGGGAATTCCCTCAGAATTCCCAGTGGGATTGGGGAGGGGCTGGGATGGAATTCCCAGAGCAGCTGGGATCCCTGGAAGTGTCCAAGATCAGTTTGGAGCCACCTGGGACAGTGGAAGGTCTGGGACCCGCGGTGGGACTGGGAGAACCTTGGTGCTCCTCCAACTCAAAGCATTCCATGGTTCCATGAGGAGACCTAGGTGGGATTTTGGGAAGGAGTTTTCCCTTTGAGGGGCTGGGATGGAATTCCCAGAGGACCTGGGATCCCTGGAAGTGTCCAAGGTGAGTTTGGATCCACCTGATCCAGTGGAAAATGTCCCAGCTCGTGGTGGGACCAGATGGGCTTTGGTGTCCCTCAAACCCAAACCATTCCATGGTTCCATCCAGGTGGGATTTTGGGAAGGAATTTTCCCTTTGAGGGGCTGGGATGGAATTCCCAAAGGACCTGAGATCCCTGGATGTGTCCAAGGCCAACGCTGTGTGATGCCACCAGTTGTGGTGACATTAGTTGGGATTTTGGCTCATTCCCACCCCAAACCCCCTCCAGGCTGGCACCCGGGGTGGGATGGGAATTTGGGAATTTCCAGGATCTGCCCCCAAAACCCTTCCGGTGTCGCGCAGTCGGCCGGGAGGCTGATGAGAGCCATCTTTGAGATCGTCCTGAACCGCGGCTGGGCCCAGCTCACCGACAAGACCCTCAACCTCTGCAAGATGATCGACAAGCGCATGTGAGCCGCGATCCCGCGAAATTCCCCGGAATTCCCGGGAATTCCCGGCGTCCCCTGAGCCCCCGCCGTGTCCCCGCAGGTGGCAGTCCATGTGTCCCCTGCGCCAGTTCAAGAAGCTGCCCGAGGAGGTGGTGAAGAAGATCGAGAAGAAGAATTTCCCCTTCGAGCGCCTCTACGACCTCAACCACAACGAGATCGGTGCTGAAACGGGCGGAAAATGGCCCAAATTGAGAGTGGGGAGGGGTTTGGGATTGTGGCATGGGAGAGTCCCCTGAATTTGGGCTAAAGTGCTCAAAATTCGGGCTAAAATCTGCAAAATTTGGGATAAAATCCCCTGAATTCCCACTAAAATCCCCCAAATTTGGGCTAAAATCCCCTGAATTCCCACTAAAATCCCCCAAATTTGGGCTAAAATCCCCTNCCCCTGAATTCCCACTAAAATCCCCCAAATTTGGGCTAAAATCCCCTGAATTCCCACTAAAATCCCCCAAATTTGGGCTAAAATCCCCTGAATTCAGGTTATGATCCACAAAATTTGGGATAAAATCCCCTGAATTCTGGCTAAAATCCCCCGAATTTGGGCTAAAATCCCTCAAATCCAGGCTGGGGAGGGGTTCCAGATTGTGACATGGGAGAATCCCCTGAATTTGGACTAAAATCCCCAAAATTTAGGAAAAATCCCCAAAATTTGGCCTAAAATCCCCCAAATCCAGAATGGGGAGGGGTTCCGGATTGTGGCATGGGGGAATCCCCCAAATCCAGGCTAAAATCCCTGAAATCCTGGTTTAGATGAGATTTTGAAAAAAATTCTTTGTTTTGAGGGATGCAGTTTCTCCAGAATTTCCCCTCAGAAATGGGGGGATTTCTCCAGCATTTTCCCTCAGAAATTGGGGAATTTCTCCAGGATTTTCCCTCAAAAATTGAGGATTTTTCCTCAGAAATGGGGGAATTCCCCTCAGAATTGAGGGAATTTCACATAGATTTTCCCTCAGAAATTGTGAGATTTTCCTCAGAGATGGGGGGATTTCTCCAGGAATTTCACTCAGATGTTGGGGATTTTCCCTCAGAAATGGGGGATTTTCCCTCAGAGATGGGTGATTTCCCTCAGAAATGGGGGAATTTCTCCAGGATTTTCCCTCAGCAATGGGGGAATTTCACTCAGAAATTGAGTAATTTCTCCATGAATTTCCCTAAGATATTGGGAGACTTCCCTCAGAAATTGGAGGATTTCCCTCAGAAATGGGGGAATTTCTCCAGGATTTTCCCTCAGAAACGGGGGAATTTCTCCAGGATTTCCCTCAGATATTGGGGATTTTCCCTCAGAAACTGGGACATTTCCCTCAGAAATTGGAGCTTTTCCCTCAGAAATTGGAACTTTCCCCTCAGAAGTGCGATAATTCCTCCCGAAATCGCCCTGAGCGTCTGGAGCAGCCGCCTCACCTTCTGAAATCAACTCTTTTTGGCATCCTCCCTGTCCCCATCCCTTATTTTTATTTTTTTTTCCCCCACTCCGGTGACAGGAGAGCTGATCCGGATGCCGAAAATGGGGAAAACCATCCATAAATACGTGCACCTGTTCCCGAAGCTGGAGCTGTCGGTGCACCTGCAGCCCATCACGCGCTCCACGCTCAAGGTGGAGCTCACCATCGCGCCCGACTTCCAGTGGGACGAGAAGGTGGGAAATGCGGGGTTTGGGGTGGGAAACTGGGGGGAAATGGGGGAATTTGGGGTGGGAGGAGGGAGTTGTGAGGGGAAATTGGGGATTTTGGGGTAGGGGGTGGAAATTGTGAGGGGAAAATGGGGGATTTTGGCATGGAAATTGTGAGGGGAAATGGGGAAATTTGGGGTGGGAGGAGGGAATTGTGAGGGGGAATGGGGAAATTTGGGGTGGGAGGAGGGAATTGTGAGGGGGAATGGGGAAATTTGGGGTGGGAGGAGGGAATTGTGAGGGGAAATTGGGGAATTTTGGGGTGGGGGCTGGAAATTGTGAGGGGAAATTGAGGATTTTGGGGTGGGAAGAGGGAATTGTGAGGGGAAATGGGGAAATTTGGGGTGGGAGGAGGGAATTGTGAGGGGAAATGGGGAATTTTGTGGTGGGAGGAGGGAATTGTGAGGGGAAATGGGGAAATTTGGGGTGGGAGGAGGGAATTGTGAGGGGATTTTGGGGTGGGGGAGTGGAAATTGTGAGGGGAAATTGGGGATTTTGGGGTGGGAAGAGGGAATTGTGAGGGGAAATGGGGGATTTTGGGGTGGGAGGAGTGAATTCTGAGGGGAAATTGGGGATTTTGGGGTGGGGGAGTGGAAATTGTGAGGGGAAATTGGGGATTTTGGCATGGAAATTGTGAGGGGGAATGGGGAATTTTGGGGTGGGGGGTGGAAATTGTGAGGGGGAATGGGGAATTTTGGGGTAGGGGAGTGGAAACTGTGAGGGGAAATGGGGAATTTTGGGGTGGGAAGAGGGAATTGTGAGGGGAAATTGGAGATTTTGGGGTAGGGGAGTGGAAATTGTGAGGGTAAATTGGGGATTTTGGCATGGAAATTGTGAGGGGAAATGGGGAATTTTGGGGTGGGAGGAGGGAATTGTGAGGGGGAATGGGGAAATTTGCGGTAGGGGGTGGAAATTGTATGGGGGAATGGGGAAATTTGGGGTAGGAGGAGGGAATTGTGAGGGGGAATGGGGAAATCTAAGAATTAAGGCTGAAAATTGTGAGGGGGAGTGGGGAATTTTGGGGTGGGGGGTGGAAATTGTGAGGGGAAATGGGGAATTTTGGGGTTGGGGGTGGAAATTGTGAGGGGAAATTGGGGATTTTGGGGTTGAGGGGTGGAAATTGTGAGGGGGGAATGGGGGATTTTGGGGTGGAAATTGTGAGGGAAAATGGGGGATTTTGGGAATGAAGGGTGGAAATTGTGAGGGGGAATGGGGGGGTGGAAATTGTGAGGGGAAATGGAGAATTCTGCTGCTGGGATGTGAAAACCATGAGGGAAAAGGGAGGATTTTGGGGCTGGGATGTGGAAATCATGAGGGGAAAGTGCCCTGATTGAGGGGAAAAATGAGATTTATGGGGCAGGATTGTGAAAATCAGGTAAAACGTGCAAATCCAGAAAATCTGGGGTTCAGTTTTAAAAACCACGTGGCAAAACACAATCAAAACCACACAAGGAGCCATTTTGTGTCCGGAACATTTGGAATTATGCGGGCTGGTACAGGGAAGTGAGAATTTCTCCTTTTTTTTCTCCAGGTTCATGGCTCCTCGGAGGCTTTCTGGATCCTGGTGGAGGATGTGGACAGCGAGGTGATCCTGCACCACGAATATTTCCTGCTCAAGGCCAAATATGCCCAGGATGAGCACCTGGTGACATTTTTTGTGCCCGTCTTCGAGCCCCTGCCCCCTCAGTATTTCATCCGGGTGGTGTCCGACCGCTGGCTCTGTGAGTGCCCCTTTTCCTGGGTTTACTCCTGCTTTTATTCCTGTTTTTTTCTTTTATTATTGTTGGGTTTTTTTCTGCTTTTATTCTTTGGTTTTTTCTGCCTTAATTCCTGCTTTTCCCTGGGATTTATTCTGGGTTTTCTGGGTTTTATTCCTGTTTTTTCCTGGTTTTATTTTTGGTTTTTCCTGGTTTTATTCCCATTTTCCCCCAGACTTTATTCCTGGTTTTTCCTGGGTTTATTCCAGATTTTATGGCTCTGTGAGTGCCCCTTTATTGGGGTTTATTCCTGGTTTTTCCTGGGATTTTTATCCCTTCTCCCAGAGCTTTGTGATTCTGGGTTCATCCCCTCTCCCAAACCTTTGGAATCTGTTTTTATCCCTTTTCCCAAACCTTTGGAGTCTCTTTTTTTATCCCCTCTCCTAAATCTTTGGAATCTGTTTTTTTTTCCCTATTCCCAAACCTTTGGAATTCCAGGTCCATCCCCTCTCCCAAACCTCCAGAATCCATTTCCCACCCCCATGGCAAACCCATCCCCCTCTGGATCCACGCACCTGGAAAATCCCAGGAATTCTTTCCCTCCTCCAGCCTGTGAGACCCAACTTCCCGTTTCCTTCCGGCACCTGATCCTTCCGGAGAAATACCCGCCGCCCACGGAGCTGCTGGACCTGCAGCCGCTGCCGGTGTCGGCGCTGCGCAACAGCGCCTTCGAGAGCCTCTACCAGGACAAGTTCCCCTTCTTCAACCCCATCCAGACTCAAGGTGAGCCTCCATCCCGCCGCCGTTTCCCGGGATTCGGCGCTTTCGGTGGGAATTCTCGGGTGGTTTCGGGGTTTTGGATGGGTTTGGCAGGTTCTGGGAGTTGTGGTTGATCCTTGTGCTTATTCCATGCGGGTTTTGTCTCTCCCAGAGTTTTGGGATTCGTGGTTTATCCCTATTCCCAGAATTTTGGGATTCGTGGTTTATCCCTATTCTCAGAATTTGGGATCTGTGGATTATCATTATTCCTAGAGTTTTGGGATCTGTGGTTTACCCCATCCCATAATTTTTGGATCCATGGTTTATCCCCAGTTCCCAGAGTTTTGGGATCCATGGATCATCCCCTACTCCCAGAATTTTGGAGCCATGTTTTATCCCCTCTCCCAGAATTTTGGGATCTGTGGTTTATCATTATTCCAAGAGTTTTGGGATCTGTGGTTTATCCCCTCTCCCAGAGTTTTTGGATCTATGATTTATATCCTCTTCCCAGAATTTTGGATCAATGGTTTATCCCCTAATCCCAGAGTTTTTTCCCCCTAATCCCAGAGTTTTGGGATCCATGGTTTATTCTCTATTCCCAGAATTTTGGATCAATGGTTTATCCTCTAATCCCAGAGTTTATTCCCCTGTTCCCAGAATTTTGGATCCATGGTTTATCCCTATTCCCAGAATTTTGGGATCCCTCGTTTATCCCTGAAGAGCCTTTCCTGGCTCTCCCCTCACTCCAACCGGATCCTCACCCCATTCCCAAATTTTTTTTCCCCCCTAAACCCGCGGGAATTGCCCCGATCCGCAGTGTTCAACACGGTGTACAACAGCGACGACAACGTCTTCGTGGGCGCGCCCACCGGCAGCGGCAAAACCATCTGCGCCGAGTTCGCCATCCTCCGCATGCTCCTCCAGAATTCCGAGGGTCGCTGCGTCTACATCACCCCCATGGAGGCCCTGGCCGAGCAGGTGAGCCCCAGGAATTCCCTGGAGATGGCAATTCCCAACCGGGAATGCCGTGGAGGTGGCAATTCCCAAC